ATAATTATTTATCGATTACATTATTTATGTATTTATTAAGCTAAGCTATCGATGGAGTATTGTTATACAAATAATTAAAAAAAAATTGCACTCGTCTCATTTATAAAGTTGTTATCAATATTATCATGGATGTATTTATCGATTTCAATTGGTTGCTTTAGTTGTCGATATATTTATTGTAAGGGTTTTATTTAAGCATTCACCGACATTTTTATCAATTTATTTATTGGTTTGATATCAATATTGCTACTGTTAAGTTATCGAGGGAAATATCGATATTTTTCTCGATATCGGTTGGGGTCTATGGTTATCGATAAATTTATTAACGCAGTTATTTATACATGTATTGATATTTTCATCAACATATTAATTGTTTTCATATCGGAGTTGTTGTCGGTATCGAAATTCACAATTTTAGTGGAGGCTCCTATGAACTACGTGCAATTTGAAGTGGATGGCATATACGCTAAACCCAATATGTTCCCTATGTATACTTTGTTCAATGAAAAATTCTACCAATCATTATTTACGAGTATTACAGACTAGAGGTGCAAAACTATCGATAGTCAGACCATCGATAGTTTTCGATATTATTTTCAGAACTATCGATATATCGTCGATAGTATCGTATTTATATGGTTTTGGTTCAATTTTCGTATGAAGATTTCCTTAAGAATATATTTCGAAACTACGTTTGGATATTCTTGTAAACTACTGTACACTTTTTTTAATTGTTTAACCGTTAAGTTAGAAGTAAAGTTATTGAAAATTTGAAATGAATTGAAATGGAAAAAAATTGGGCATACTGAAATTTTATATTTGTGGTTTTAGATATCCTCCGTCATATATAAGGCATTCATCAAGTAAATTTCAATTTTAGAAGAAGANGATGCAAGGTTTTCCGTCATTTTCGAAATTTGACATTACTCTTTTAAAAAAGTAGCAACCAAATTTTTAGTTCAACTTGGATGTTTAAGAGAAATGTAAAGAAAAGAAGAAATAAAACTAAAATAAATACTGAATCACATGTCTGTCGGACTATCGATAGGACCAAAAAACAATCGATAGTAGGGAAAAATAAAAAACATCGATACTATCGATAGTACCATCGATAGTTTTGCACCTCTATTACAGACTGGCGCCATCAAAAATAGTAAAATAGAGTGTTGCGAAATTAATTGAATTTGTTTATTTTTGTTCTACAACAAAATTGCCAACTCATTTCAAACTAGTTTTAGCAAATTTTCGGAAAATTGTTTACCTTCTAATCGACTAGTTAGTAGTACAAGCAACAGGCAATTTTGAATGACGTGCTTACAATAGACAAGCAAATTCGGGCAAAGGAGTGAGTACATACAAATGTATGTATATAAGTATGTATATATATCTATGTATTTGTGTGTTTATATGTAGGTATTTGTAATTAAAATATTTTCATAATAGGCTGCCACAATAATTTGCACTTGCATACTTATATACCTATGTAGATATGTATGTATGTATGTATGTATAGCCAGTAGATTTGAAATTTTTTTAGTGGGTCAAATTAACTTTGTACAAAATCCCACGCGATGCAGTAAGTAGTTGGATATGTATGTGTGTATGTATGTGTTAACATGTTCAAAACGAACACAGTTAGAAATCTAGTACACACAAATACATATAGACATACATATGTACATATGCCTTCATGCAGTTACCATTGATTAGCGGAAGACAGAGGGTGGATTTGGAAATTCGTGTCCCTGACCTGCTGCAATTTTCGAATAAAAATTTTAATTGTTTCACTAAGCGTCAAATTCAGTTGCATGAGTGCTTGTTAAGAACAACTAACTGTAAACAAATTAAAATAATTGAAGTTATTAACTGGCCATTAAAATGTAAAAAAAAACAACAGCAAAAAAAAAATCCACAAAACAATTGCGAAATTAAAGTAATTTTAAATAAACACAGAAAATACGGCTAATCTAAGCATTTATTCATATATATGTACATATGTACATATGTTAAAGTGCGTATGTACATAGTACACTGCCGACAAAAAGTATTGGCACAGCAAAGTTTTCACAATATATGCATAAATTTTTTTTTCTAATATTTTTTCCGACAATGTTTTATAAAAATATGGTTCATTCTACAACAAAAAAAAATTGTAATTTTTAAAATTTGTAAAAAACTCGCGAAAATTCAGCAAATATTCAACTGTTTAATCAGATATTTTGGGATTTTTTTAAGTACGCAGTTTTGCAGCCCATTAAATTCTAGTAAAAAAACTGCATGTTCGGAGTTAGTCAAAAATCGCATTGATTTTTAAGTTTTGTTGAAGGTGTTTAGCATTTTTGCATATAAAGTATTTTCGAAAAAAATTTATTGTATGGAAAAACTGCCAAAAATTGGGCTACAAATCCGCATACTCAAAAAAATTCTAAAAAATCTGATTAAAAAATGGAAAATTTGCATGAAAATTAATTGAATTTACGTGATTTTTGCACAAAGTTTAGGAATTATATTTTTATGTTTTTTGTTGCAGAATGTGCCATATTTTTATAAAAATTTGGCGGAAAAATATTAGAAAAAAAAATTGTGAAAAATTTGCAGTGCCAATACTTTTTGCCGGCAGTGTAAGTTTGTGTGTGTGCGTATGTGCGGCGAGGCATGTCAATTGAGATATCAATTACAAATGCCCAAAGTGATTATATAATTCTGATTGACAATTTTTCGCATTGCACAGCTTAGCTTGTTTGAGCAAAAAGCTTAAAGAAAATCAAAAAAAAAAAATATAATAAAAAAGTTACAAATGACTCAAATTAAAAAATAAATCGCTTAGAATATAAAAAACTATGCAAATTGTTATGCTTGCGGGATTATTGACATGTTTCGCATAAGAACGGCAGAAATTAACGCATTAAAATTTCAACAGAATTTGTAAAAAAAGTGGGAAAAAATTTTAATTTAACAAAAAACGGCATGTATGTAGCCCACATGCACACGTTGCAACTAATTTTACCATAGAATGCAAGCAACTTATTTATTTATTCAGTAGGCTACTCAAGCCGCCACTCAGCCAACCACTCAGTGAGTCAGTTCGCCGGCCGTCAGCCACGCACTCAAGCGCGTTTGCATTATTCAACTGATAAATTTATGAAAATTAATTATTTTATATGTATTATACAAATTTACACAAATAATTTTTATGTAGCTGTGAAGTAGTGCCATTAATAATAAAAAAAATCATGCTGTGGCGAGTAGTTGACAAAGTGCTGTGTAAGTTTTTTTTTTTTTTGTAATATTCTTGGCGATTTTTTAAGCTCAACTCTAATTATGGACACTGCCTGGTTGATGGAATTATTTTTCAATTACAGGAAAATTATAACAAATTGTTTAAAATATTGCAGGTATTTTTGAGAAGACTAATTGCTTCTTAAAATAAACCAAATCAATTCAGATTAAGTAAAAGGTATAATTTTTTAAGTTGGGAATGCGTAGGGAAGGCCTACATAATGCTTGGCAACCGCACTAATTCTTCTATGCTAAGGGGTTGACGCCCCGACTAAGGCAAAATTATAAAATAAAATCTTTTCTGCTGCATAGGGTAGTTTAGGTTAGGTTGAAGTGGCTACTACTGCTCATATCCATACCAGCATACCAACAGGATCTATATCCGGAATTGATTAATTTAAGCTCAGGGTTTCAATGGTTTCACCGCCCATGAACCTAAGGGCCATTTCCTCGACTGCCTGTTAAATTTAACTTCCCTTTAAACACATCGACTGCCTATTATATGAATGTGATTGATAAATGATAAATGTAACAGGCAGTCGAGAAAACAGTCCCTAGTCTCCTACTCCGAACGCGAGACATTCGAATTCGTATTTAGGATCTTCTTCGTTTTTGTAGCATCCGACGAAGCCATTCTAAGTGATTTGAATTGAAGAATCGTAGTATATTTAGATTAAAAGTGACGATTCGCATGCTTAAACTCTTTCTATATGACAAAATTTCAAAGATGTGTGCTTCTAAAGTTCCAGCATCCATAGCTGATCTGCCATCACCTGAAGTGATCTACGGAAATTTGCTACAGTTTATGACCTACTTGTGACAAAGTTTAGAGCTTTTAGAGCTACCTGACTATCTGAGAAAATAGTTTAAAAAGCATTGTCAGTACACAGTCGGCAGTCTTCTTTAATCCAGAAGTTCTGCTTGGAAGACCATGCAATGATCTGATAGGTTGAACGACTTTTTTATTCCTAGACGAAGCCTAATAAGAATTGAGGAGCGGCCACGGTAATTCACTTTCCAGCTGGAAAAATTTTGTACGATAACGGCATCATGTTTTGAAGGCGCCTCTTCAACAAAAATGACCAGCGATCTTACACCGGGAGCTTTGACTGGCCAAACGCCAACGGAAACCGTTGGAGCTGCTATGAGGGTGAAATCCGGATATCAATGTATGTACATGTAATGTATCTTATCGATTTTTGATGCCTTTACTTCGTTCAAGGCCAGGTTAGGTTAAGATATTGCGACAGGGACCATTAAAAGGTTGACCATTCTAAACGATTACGATTATTCTAAATATAAAAGCAGAGTATGCTTAGAAAGAAGTTAAGCCACAGGCTGATACCAGTTCCAGGAGTTGAGACAGTTAAACCTCAGCCTACCGAAAGACGAAGAGCATATGAGAAAATTTTAAGATTATTCTGCCCTTTATCTTCCAAACAGTTGTGGTAATCGGAATCCGGTGAAATCCATAACTTTCCTGCATATAACCCAAATGGAGTGGGATCTGTCAGCAGTATATGTAAGCAGAATATCCTGCAATTTCCCTCTTTGTTCACCTATCGACTTATTTTTTGTAAGTCAAGGCTTTCATCCCCGTTCTTGGAAGTCTCAAATCATGTGCAAGAGATTATTTGATTTGTTAATTAGATCTAATAATTTGTTAACTATTTAGCTACAAATATGCATAAGTATCAACTAAAAAGTTTTTCTCTACTTACATAAGACATTGTGACTTGATTACTGTTGTTCGCGGCCATGGCATTGCGCTTGCCCAACAGCGATTGATTCATGCGATTCGTACCATAGTACATTTCCCAAATGCTCGGCTTCTTTCGATGCCATTCCAAAATTGAGTCCTTATCACCTGATTCGCCCGATTCCGCGCCGCTACCATTACCAGCCGAATTGCAGCCGCCACCATTTGGTTTACCTTTACCGCCGATTTCGGCATCCGCCGGTGGCGCTGATAATGTTTTCGCATCTAATTTACTCAATACCGGCTGCTGGAATGAGAGATTGCGTTGCAGTTGCGTTGTGGGCACATGCAAGGTTATCACATTTTGATCACGTTCGCGCTGTCTACGCTCTGCGGTGTAACGATCGCGATGCGGTAGCGATGGACGACGTTGCTGCTGCGCTAGCGACGTTTGAGACGATACGCGTTGCAAAGTTTCCGACTCTGCATAACAATTGGTGACGGGAAATACCTCAGTAAGGGATTTTCGCTTCATTTTGAAATTCGGATCACTCGCGCAGCGTATCGAGGCGATTTGTTCACGTATACTCACGGGCACGCCATCGCAGATTGCCTCGTAGTTGCCGGCGATGTAACCGTAATCCGACTCGATCGTACCGAGACTGTGCGTCGAACGGCGACGCTCGAAGGCCTTCTTCATTTTTACGATATTGTGATTTCTTACAAGCCCGCTGCATAGTTGACGTATTTCCAATTCGCTGTGCTGGTTCATGCGATCCAAATAGTTTTCCAACTCGTTTTTCAGCGTCTTAATCATGCCTTCCAGCTCATGTGGCAGTTGCTGCGCAGGCGCCGCAGGATTATTCAAATGTGCATCGGGGCTGTGCGTACCGGCGCTGCCACTCGCCTGCGAGAGCAAACGTATCTTGTCGCGCACATCCTCGAGCAGCTCACGCGTGTTCTGGAAGTGCAGCTGATCTTCATAGCGTTTCATGTAGTGGTCTGCGACCGAAACCGACTTTTCCGAAACGGTGCCCGTACCAGCAACGATATCACTTTCGACACGATACGCATCGTCAGGGCAGGAATTTATATACTTTGCACACTTATAATTATTCTCCTCCTCCTGCTCATCGGTGAGAAAAGTGGGATTATCGATGCCACCATCGCGCAATTGCTGTGGCTTGCGCAACTTGCCGCCAGCAGTGCGCTCATTGACTAGCAAAAATGAGTCGAGGTCTATGTCGAGCAGCGAATCGTCCACCATATCGTCGGGCCATGAGCGACGCGGTTGATTGGCGGGATCGTAGCCCTCCATAATGGTGGGCAAATAATGATGCGGGTGTTGGGGTACACGGCTAGCTAACTTATCGCCGCCGCTAGCATCCAACGCGTGCGGTGGCATCGGCAGGTATGCGTGGTGATGATGATGATGATGCTGGGTCTGTACAAAGGCAGCAATGCGTTCGTGCGAACTTAGACTTGGAAAATTTTTCAAATGGCGATCGAGATTCTCGATGCTGGTCTCGAGTATGCGCAGATTATCGCTGAAATATTGCGATTGTGAATCTGTGTATTCCTCGGAGGTTTGTCGTTGTAATAAGAATTGCAAGCTAGCCGGCACTTTGCTGACCGCGCCAAATGTGCTCTTCGGCGCATCCTGCGAACTATTGCCAGCCTTGCTGGGGTATCGGGCCGCCGATGCAGTTGCATCGCCAGCTTCACCATCGCAATCGTCCTCGCCACCGTCCAACTCGCTGCAACCAGCAATACCACTTTCGCCGTTTCGACTTGCCGCCGTGCCGTTGCGACGTCCATAATAACGCTGTGTCACACCTCCTTTGCTGTTCATATCCCGCGCGTGGCTATGAACCATCGTTGTTGCGGCCGTTGTTGTTGCCGGCGCCGCTGTGTTTTTGCTGTTGCTATTCCCGCTGACAGTTGTTTTGACTGCACTTTTACTGCTGCTCTTACCAGTACCGGCTCCAACACCAACACCCCCAGTGCCAGTGCCAGTGCCACTCACGTCTAGGATATCTATAACCGGTTCACAATAGATATGCTCGTCCAGTGAATATGTGGAGCAAACATTCGAACTGTAGTAACCGGACGAGCCGCTTTTGTCCGTCGAATAGTGCGACTGATGTGAACTGGTGCGTCCGCGGCGCACACTGCCACCACCGCTCTGGGCCAATTTGGAATCGCTGGTTTTTGACGACGTTGTGACTTTGCCGCCGTTGCTACCCCGTGTCGTCGTCCCCGTCCCCGTTTTCGTTGTGGTTGTCGTCACTTCGTTGTGTTCGTCGGCACTCACGCTACTAGACGCGGTCGTCGTCGTTGTTATTGTCGAACTGGTAGACTGTTTCTTGACGCGCACTGCTGCACCCGGTGCTGAGGTGGTTGCTATTGGCACTGTTGATTTAGCTTTTGCTGTTGCTGTTGCTGTTGCAGCTGCTGCCGTCTTCGTGGCCGTTGATACTCTGAATGGCGCACCACTATCGACATCGCTGGCGACTAGTAAACTGGCGTAACCATCATTGCTGTTCGCATAGTTTAGCCTGTTTTTGGTAGTGTT